CCCAAACAAAAAAAAAAAAAAAAAAAAAGAAGGAGGGTGATGCAGGGATTGGAGCAGGGTGGGGGAGCATGCGGGAAAGGTGAGGTCATCATCCTATGATATTCAGCTCTCATCATCTTAGTAATTTGCAGAGACATGTGTACAGAAAGAGAGCTATAAAAAATGGCTGTGCCTATTAACCAACAAACCCCTGCTTAAGTCTGGGGCTAGAGAGATCCTAAGAAGCACACCCAGGAATCCACGCTGTTGCTGACTTCTGCCCACAGGGATTGCTACACATTAGCAGGTATTTCCCTGGCTAGCTGGCTTCTTTATCTCTATCTCCTCCCTTACAAGTCTCCTCCAGAGTTAGCTTAAAATAATGCTGGGCACATAGGCTCTTTACAAAATAGAATCATAGGGAGAAAACTGAATTTTTAAACCAGGAGATACCTTAGAAATTATGTAGTGATTTGTGAGGACTTGCAACCAGTTTGTATAGAACCCAGGTCTCCAGATTCCCAATCTGATCCCTTTTTATGTTGAAGATAGACAGCTGCTTACAGCTTTATATAACCCTCTACCAGTATTCTCAAAACTTACAGGAATTCTTAGCTTCTGAAGTACAGATAATCTATGGGTTAGGTGTTATTGTTCCTGTAATTCTGATCCGACTGGTTAAAAAGCAAAAGGCAGTAGAGTGCAAGCTAGAATCTAAAAAGGGGAAAAGCTCTTTGACAAATGAATTCCTTTCCTTCAATCAAAGCGTGTATAAAAACTGCCTGAACAGTCCCTGTGTCTTTGGCAGAGCTATCTTGCAAATTAAGAAGCTAAAGGCAATTTTATGAAATAGCAACTCAAAAGGCCTAAAATCACTAACTGTGTCATTGACCCAGAGGCATGTACAGAGGATACCCATTGCATTCAAGAAAGACACTCGTATAAGCATATATGGCATTAAAATCAAGTCAAGAACATAAAGTAAGACTACACAGAAAATTGAAGCTAAAAGAGGATATTTACTAATGGAAATAGTAATTACATTTTTTACTTTAGTATGGATTTAATTCCCAAGTCCTTCAAATTTTATTCCAGTCAGCTTCCCCTTCCCCTGCCCACATTTGTCTTTACATCTGTCATTTACTTTTATCTTAAAGGCTTGGACAGTCGCTTGTACCATAACATGTGTTCAATAAATGCTTCCCACCAGCCTTCATTTTAAATTATCCAGATACTTTAGGTAAAAGTAATTTCTAAATACCACTCTATTCTTAGAGATACTTTATTAGCAAATATACAAATTAGAGAGATACACTCTGAGCCACACAGACACACCCAAATACCCTTTGTCCAGACCCTCTTTGGGCATCCAAGGCCTACTCAACAGGGCCTTGCTGTGTCATGCTGACACCATGGGGATGGGGGGAGCAAGAGTGGTGATGGTGGAGGGGAATGGAAGTTCTCTGGTGTCTTGTCTGTGAGCTTGGATTTTCCTGCTAGCTATGTCCTTCCCCCTCATTCCACTGAGCTGCAAAGAAGCATTCCTGTTCCAGAATCTGTCCCCCCGTATTTAGCTCCTGTGGGCTGTACTGATTTCAATATGTGATCGGTTCTCTAACACAAAGACCCCCATCTTTCCCTACCTCAAGCTGCCTCTTTCTTTGGAGCAAAGGTTTGAGATGGGGAGAAAGAGATTGTCAAAAGAAAGGTCACATTACTCCCAACATTATCCCAATTATCCCCTCAAACTTTCTCCTATATAGACAAATGGTACACTACAAAAAAAAAAAAATTGCAAATATAGGAAGGTAGAGGCCAGAGACATGCAGTAGGACTAAAGATTTCATCAAATAACTGGCAGAACAAATTAGAGCTCGAACAGGAAGATAAGTAGGCTGAAGATATTAAATGCACAGGACAACAGATTATAGAAAAGATATTTGCGAGAAGGAAGTCGTTGCTGAGAAATAACTACATATAATTGTTCGAAATTAATGTCTGTGCACAGGATAAGGAGGTATGGATGCCGTGAGCAAATAACACCCATTGTTCATAGCGCCCCCATCTCTCCCCTTGAACTGTCCCCCCACCTCATCATTATTTGGGGTCTTCAGTCTGACTATAAGAAGCTGCTCTTCTGTCTCTGCAATCCCCTGTACCCCCCTCAGTTTGCTTTACCTGTTATCAATGAATGACTAGCGTGTTCCAAAGACGGAGGGCGTGCCTGGGGGCTCCGGGGTCTGCGCTGGGCTAGAGAAACAGAAAGCTGTGGGGGCTTCCACGGCTTTGTCTTCTCACTCCCTCTCCCTCTCCAATGACTGAGTCTGTCTGCCCAGTCTCCCCCTGCAATGCAGCCCCTCCTAAGGAGGGCGGAAGGACTCCCCGCCCCCTCCCTGCCTGACTCGGCTAATTCAAATGATAGGTTCCAGAGCACGTTAGGGAGACAGGATTCGAGCATCTCTGTAGGCTTATTGGGCTGCACAATTACCCCCGATCCCTTCCGGCACCTCCGCGCCGACTGGGGGAGCAATGAATGAGCAGGTAACTAGCCTCGAATTTTAGGTTTATGGATTCAAAACCTTCACTCTGGACACAATGGAAAGAAGGGTTCCTTTCTTCCCCAGTCTCATAAAGGCTTTAGGTACTGGCGTTGTGGAGAAATTCTCCACCCCTCCCGGACCCCTGCTCCTCTCAACTCGCCCCTCTACCCTCACCAAGGGGGAATAACCCTAGCCCTGTTCCGATTTGGGGAGAGCACAAGAGATGGGGGGCGAGGTGCTTCTGCGGGTCTCTGAGCTTGGTTAGGTCTGGGGGGGCTGGGGCGCCCCGCTTCGTTATGCCTCCAAAGGCCCGGCACGCCAAGGGCACGCGGATCCCGGGGCCCCAGCCTGGTGCCGGGCCCTCCCGGAGGTGCCCACGTGCCCGCGTCCGCCCGGCGGGGGCGGCGGCCTCGGGGGCTGCGGGTCCCCC